TGAAGCTTAAGGAAAACTTTTATATGCTGTGTAAAACTTAGAATCTTTAATTACTTTTGTAAGTTAATTAATTTTAATTTCTTTTTCTCCAACCATTCCATGTTCATCCTGTTTCAACATAGTCTCGATCTCGACAAGAGGATCCAGAACAGCTTAGGTTGAAACAGAAGGCCAAGGAGGTAAGTGTTCACCTTAACATGAACTTTTATTTTGGAAATTGAAAGAAAAATAATTAACTGTACTTGTTCTGGAAAATGCAGATGCAGCAACAAGAGCTAGCACAGATGAGACAGAGGGATGCCAACTTGACTGCATTAGCTGCTATTGGTCCCAGAAAGAAAAGGAAAGTAGATTCACCGGGATCTGGATCAGGGACAGAGGTACAGTATAAATAACTGGAATCTTTGATTTTGCTGTGTCAGCCTCTGTAAAAACCTTTCTGTTCTGAGCTTTTTCCCTGGTTTGTGGAAGCTTTCTGAGCAGCAGAAGGATAATTTGTGTTCAGATTCACTTGCTCCAAGACAAGGATCAATTTTAACATCGGTGTAGCATCATAGGGAATAAAATTTGAGTTGTCATTGCTTGATTCATGGAATTGGAGGAGTGTTAGAAATGCCATTGCTGTTCTCTCAAGTCTCTGCTCTTTTGGACCTCCATAGTTTTGGGAAGAGATTGTTGTGGTTGTAGCCAATCTAACTAAATAAGATAGCAGAGGAATTCCACTGAGGTGGGTGCAGTGGTAGAATTGAATCACTGCTAAATTTGGCAGCAGGAGCTTCAGGTTATAGGAGATTGCTTAATTCTCTCTTCAGCTGTTGATTGGCCTTAGTTTCAGATCTCCGCAGCAGATGAATTTGACCAGTTCCATCTGATTATGATGTTATCTTGCATGTCCTTTCTATGTTCTATTGTTTAATCTGACCTTTTAAAAATTTATCTGCAGACTTAAGTATCAGTATGCCCAGTATCTGATTAGTTTAGTGTTAATTTAAATTCAGGCAGATTGGTAGACTATCTGCTGTATTTCTAAACAAGTTAATAACATGAAATAATATAAAATTGCTTTCTGCACGGAAGACATTATTAAATGTGGGATTTCTCTAGTGTTTAAAAAGTACAAAATCATCTTGAAACTTGTCATTTACAGGGCCAAAAGCTGTCTTCATAATCTGAGGACTTTTCCCTGCAGAGTTTTGTGTTTGATAACAAGTGACAGGATAGCAATAGTTTAATAATTCTGTTTATTGTTCCCTGAGCCTTCCAGATTTTTAGTGCTAAAGCATTTATACTGTAGAAAAGCCTCTTGTATCAAAAGAATTTACCTTGTTTTATATTAAATAGCTAAAAGCAATAATTTACATGTACTTGATATAAAATGTTAGAGAACAATCTGAATACTAGTGTTACTTTTATTTATTAAAAAATGAAGCCTCTTGAGCATCTTTTAAAATAATTGACTTTTACTAAAATGCCTGTAATAGATAATAAGACTTATTTTTAAATAAGTTAAGAATTTACTGTATTAAAAGTTTATAAATGTGGTTTAAAATGATAAAGATTGCAGAATGTGGTACTTTTATGAAGATAGATGTGTATATAAATGAAGTTGTCCCTGAGGAATACACCAAAGTATCTCATGCAGCGTTAATGTTGGCATCGCTTACTTATGCATGCTCAACTGTGCAATCTTAATAGTCTGTTAATGTCACTTAGGTTATGGAATATATTTCACATCTACTGTGAACACTTGTTTGTATTTCATCTAAATCTGACTAATTTAGTTATCCTAGATTAATCACTTACTGGTTAACCAATTAACTACAGGTTCCCTGGAAATCCAATCTTTTTGTCTGTTTAATTAAGAACCAGCTGCTTTTGATCTGATAGACTCACAGCTGTGCTTTTGCTGCTGTGTCACTTGACATTTTGAAATTGAGCTCCACTTGTCAGTGTTTGTGTGCAGTTTGTAGTTAAGGCGTATTAGAAGTGTGGAAAATAAGGTTTGTCATTACTTAGTCACAGATTTGTAAAGTAACCTTTTGATGTCTAGGAATGCTAAATCTTGATTACATGTAAAATCACTTCTAAGAAGCAATTGTACTGTTTTGTTTAAAAATTTAACGAAACAGGTTGCTGTCAGTTTTTGAGTTTTATGTCTGGGTGGTTTTATTGAAAGCTACTAAAAAAAAA